GTTATTCTTCTTCTTTGTTATTTATATTTTAAAATTCTTAAAATTTCTAAATCTTTGTTTGCATTTGAAAGTTATGGAAAAAATGGATTATGCTCTTGAATTTTGCGGTTTGGAAGTGTTGAAGCTTGTGCCTTAAGAATTGTGGAGTCAGATTAACCGGAAATTTTCATTTGTTCATGTAGTAGTGACGCGTATACCATTGGAAATCATGTCGTGTTTCGTCACGGTATCAAGCTCCCCGGTCTTCTCTCCTTCCTCGTCTTTCTTCTGTAACAAAACCTCAATATTTTCTTCGTCAGCGGAGGCTCTTAATTTGACTTTAACCCACCTCAAACCCACATATTCTCCTTCTTCTCCGTCTCTGTCATCTTCGCCTTCATCGCCGTTTCGTATAAGGATTCAAAAAACGTCATCTGGGTCACTTCTCTCATCCTCATCTCCGTCTTCTTTGGGTTACAGTGCGGGTTTTGGTCCCGGGTCGGTTTTGAAGAGGAAGAGGCCGACTAGACTAGATATACTGGTGGCGACTGTGATGGCCTTTGCGACTCCGTTGATGGAGAGCCAGGAGAGATGGAGAGTGAAGGTGATGGGTATTCTGTTTATTGTAAAAGAGGGAGGAGAGAAGCTATGAGGGTAATAATGTAATTTTATGTTTAAATTAAAATATAAATATTTATTTACGTAACATTTTTATTTATCTATATAACATAATTATAATATATATAATTGTCATGTCATCAAAAAAATTTAAAAAAAATGTCAAATGGAATTATTTAATTATCACATCATGTTTAACTTATGGAAAAATAAAAATTGTGTAATTTTTAGAATTAAAAGATAAAAAAAGTGAAAAGAATAATCTAAGGATCAAAAAAATGCAAACTTATAAAGTTGAGGGATCAAATTTAGCATTTAACCTTTTCTTTTTCTTTTTTTGGCACGTGGAGGATGACGTGGAGGGTATCATTAAGTCCACATCAGCTATTCCCGTTATTTTAACGTGCCATGTGAGCAAAAATTAACGGAGGGACCAAAAAGGGGCCGGATTTGTGAACAGTAAGGACCAAAAAAGGGATTTTTTCGGTACAGGGATCAAAAAGGGGCTTTTTTCTATAGTAGAGGGACCAAAAAGGGTATTTAACCAAAAAACTACATCCAAAGGGAAAGAAACTGCGGAGTCATCCAAGACACCAAGTTTAAACTTTGGCTCTAATGTGAATTTGGGCCATAGTAGCAGCTCGTTACAGGACACTCCCCTAATTGAAAATCTTTTAGCCCAAAAATTGGAACTTCTGGAGCTATTTCTAATGCCTCAACTGATCTAAAAAATTCTTTGCTTACTGTTAAAGAAAGGATAAAAAATCTTGAAAAAAGCTCTACCATTTGCTCTGTTCTATCCGCCTCATGTATTCCTCCTAAACCTTCTTTGGAGGCTACTCATGAGCAAACCAATGAAGGCATCACCAATTCCCCAACTCAGCCCCAACTTGAAAGTTCTAGTCAACAACAAGAATGCGATCTTGATGGAGAAAGCCTTAGAGTTAATGCTGTTAAGGAAGGAGAAAAACACCCCTTTTAGAGGGAGAGGGATCTGTTCAAGGCGTGGCACAACCCTTTACAAACTCTTAGATCCCTAGATCCTGGTCCATTTCTAAACTTAATACTAGTTTTGAAGGAAGATCAGACAGCATTGATAGATCAATGTAATGTTCTAAAGTTAGAGTCCACTTTCGAAGAAGCAGGTACCGAAGAGAAAAAGGACCTTACCTAACCTCTGAAATTCCTAGCTCAAGCATGGTGGGATTAGCTCCAAATTTTAGGAATAATGGGCAAAACGGAGAAGATCCATATCATCGTCAAATCCTCAACCTTACTCGAGATAGAGGAGGAGGAAATGGATTATAATTTACTGATGCTTCCGTATCATTTTCCGGAGGCCTCAATGATGTTGATGCACAAGGAAACTCTGGAGCTAATGTTCGGCCAGACACTAGCTAAATTAGTTCTGGGTCTCACTAATTCCTCTCCTCGGACAATGAAGATGCTTTCTTAGAATTGTCATGAGGCAGCGAAATTGAGTTCAAGAGGTGCATTACATATGAATCAACATACTCCCTCAATTATGCTTATTCTTGAAACCAAGTCCTCTGGTCAAGATGCTAAAGAAGTGGCAGCTAATCGTGGATTTCCTTGCACACATATGGTTGATTCTAACGGTAGAGCTAGTGGTCTCTGGTTGCTTAAGGATGACATAGAAGTGTGTGTTGATTTTGACACCTCAAACTTTCAAGCAATGCATGCACTTGTCAAGGTACGTTATCACCCCATCTTCTCTAATTTTCACTGGTTTCTCTCTAGTGTTTATGGTAAGCCCCAATTTGAGATTCATTCTCTTTTATGGGATGAACTGCGTGCGGTTGCTAAATACTTCAATGGGCCTTGGCTTGTGATTGGAGATTTTAATGATATTGTGGATCAAGTTGAAAATTTTGGTGGTGCTCTAATTAGTTAGTCTCGAGTTCACACTAATATTGATTGTATGACTGACTGTAATCTTATGGATATTGGATACACTAAAGGAAGGTTTACTTGGGTCAATATGAGGGAGGGCAACCATATCATCAAGGAATGGCTTGACAGGGCATGGGCTAACCCCAATTGGTGCCTTTAGTTTCTTGATGCTAACCTTCTCCACCTTCCTCGTATTAGTTCTGACCACAATCCACTACTTCTTCATTTTGATACTCCAATGTGTAGGATCAGGAATAAGCCTTTCAGACTAGAGAAATTTTGGTTAGATCATTGATGCACTAAAATCACCTAGCAAGTGTTCTAGTCACTCCAAGTAATATAATGATGAGAAGAGTGTTGAAACCATGAGGATTGTGTTTAACTAAGTACCAAATAATTAATCTAAATTTATTTGAATAATCAAAAAGGAAGAAAGTTTAATAAAAAAATAATAAAAAGAAAATAACAATTAAAATAAAGTTAATCACGATATGAAATACTAAGGCATTGACTTCACTATAATCAATTAATATAAATTTTGGATTATCAAATTGTTGAGTGTTATTACATGTGATGGCGGATTTCCCTAAATTAATTAACTAGCTTTCTCAAGTCAAGCTAATCCTTCACTTGTTTGTCAAATTAATCATGTCTTCATATAATTTTAAACAAATTCTATGGAAACCTCTAGCTTAAGAAGGGAAAGCTCCTAACTCTCTTCTCTTCCTCCACTACCATATGTGAGCTAATTATCCCTTAGTCTCATAGTCTAACACATGATTTACATTATCATTGGTCTAATTTACGCAATTCTTTCTCAAGTTCATACATAAATCACTAAATCAATTAAAAGGTGATCAAGCTTCCAATGCATTAAGTTCAATAATAAAAACTCCTCATGCAAATAACTTTAATTGAAAATATAAAAATCACAAAATCTATATTTAACTGATTAAGTTATATCGTAGCCCTTAGAATAAATTAGTTCATAATAAAAATAATAAAATTTGAAATTATAGTCATGAAAATTCAAATATCAAACAATAGAAAAAAATCTAAGAAAAAACAAAACCCAATTTGAGGAACTTGAACTCCTTAATCTTCTAGTATTGATGAAACCTCTATTTTGATCTCTAATAATGCCCAAAAGAAGGCTGCCACCAGCGTCCTCCCAAAGCTCTTCTCTCAATTCTGAATTTGGATGAATTTTTATAGGATTTTAGAAACCCTAGTTGGAATAGAAGTAGGAAACTTGAATTTTGGATGCTGAACGCATGGTGCTGACGCACTGAATTATGTGGCGACACAAAACAGGAAATAGAAAGTCTAATTTTGGATGCTTTACCCATGTATCAACACCCCAATTATGTGTCGACACTACACCAGTGTCGAGTTTCTGGTCTTTTTTGCAATTTCTTCAATGGTAAAATAGCACATCTGGTTTTCCATCTTTTGTAAGATGAGCACTTAGATCCCAAAACTTAAGATTCATTCCTTTAGGTCCTAAAGAAGCACCTTCCTTCTTGCACTTCATTCCCTCAACTTTCAAAAGATTTTTAATTAATCCCAAAAACTCCTATTATTATGCAATCAAGTCTTTTTCTGCACAAAGAATAAAAATCATGTTAAATCTCATAAAATTAATTCAAATATCAATAATATCAAGATAAAAATTCCACTTTAATATGTATATAAATTCAGCTCATCAATCATTCTGAGTTTCATGATTTGATCTCTCCTATTTGGTCTACTCCAAACTTGTGCACTTCACAATGTATTTTGAATACTCAAAATTTGTGTAAAATCTGGAGAAAAACCACTTTTGACAATATCTTTGTTAAAAAGCAGGAACTCAATGTTAGACTAGATGGTATCCACTGTTCTCTTTCACAAAAACCCTCTAATTTTCTTATTACTTTGGAAAAGGAGTTGTCTCTTGAATATGAGAAAATCTTGAAATTGGAGGAAGATTTATGGTTTATGAAGTCCAAAACCAACTGGATTGTTGATAGGGATCGTAATTCCAAATTCTTCCATTTATCTACTATTAGACATTGGAATCACAATAGAATCCACTGTCTAAGAATCTCATATGAGAACTGGATGTGATCAAGACTCTATCATCAATCTCATAAGGAGTCATTTCATACATCTTTTTACTTCCTCCTTGGATTACTCTTATCATGATTCCTTTTCTAACTTGGGGGTTGCTATTGTTAAGTCTCAAAACTTAATTTTTCTTGATAATCCCCCTACCGAGAAAGAGATACAGGATGCTCTTTTCAGACTCAAGCCTTTTAAGGCTCCTGGGCCAGACGATCTCCATCTTGGTTTTTTCCAAAGAATGTGGGATTCAATGAGGAGTACTCTTTGTAGTGATATTGGTAATATTTTCTCCTCTACTTCTATCCTTGCTGATTGGAATGAATGTTTAATCACACTTATTCCAAAATCAAAGCTCTTGAAGTCCAACAATTTTGGCCTATTGCCCTCTACAATACCTCCTATAAAATTGTCTCCAAGATTTTAGTCAGTAGAATAAAACCTGTTTTGGATACCATGATCTCACCTTGCCAAGCAAGTTTTGTTCTTGGCAGAAAAGGTATTGATAATGTGCTAACATTGTAGGAACTTGTTCATTCCTTTTCTAAGAGAAAAGGTCGAGTGAGTGATATGGTGATTAAGCTTAATCTTCAAAAAGCCTATGACAGGCTGGAATGGAGCTTCATTAGAGAAGCTTTAACCTACTTTAAATTCCCACCCAAGTTTATATCTCTTGTTATGAGTTGTGTTTTCTTTACTACCATTTCAATTTTGGTTAATGGAAATAAAACTAATGCCTTTCTCCCATCTAGAGGCATCCAACAGGGTGATCCTATTTCACCCTACTTATTCATCCTTTGCATGCAATATCTTTCCATTAAACTCACCAATGATATGGCTGTTGGCAAATGGAAAGGTTCTAAGGCTGGTAAGCGTGGACCTACTCTTTCTCATATTTTTTTTGCTGACAACTTAATTTTTATAGGTAAAGCTAACCTTACCAATGCTCAATACCTTAAGGATACTCTTGACTTCTTTTGCTCTCGGTTTGGGAAAATGGTTAACAATGCCAAGTCTAAATTTCTCTTTTTTAGCAATGTTGATCAAAATACCAAAGACAACATTTGTCATACCTTAGGATATCAGCAAACAAATGAGCTTGGCAAATACATTGGTATCCCAATTTCGGCTAAAAGATACTCAAGGCCAATTGTTAATTGATTCTTGATAAAATCTGCTCTAAGCTTTCAAGATGAAAAACTAAATTCTTTTCCATTACTAGTAGAGCCACTCTTGTATCATTTGTCCTTACTTCCATCCCAAATTACTTTATGCAAGTGATGTGGCCCCCCTCTTCTATTCAAAAGGAAATTGATAGAACTTCTAAGAACTTCTTATGGGGTTCTGTCGATAGCCAATGTAAGATTCATCTTATGGATTGGAATACTATCTGTAAACCTAAACCTTATGGTGGCCTTGGGTTTGCAGCACTTGTGATGTTAACATTGTTGCTATGAGCAAACTCAACTGGAGGATTCACACAGAAAAGGGGAATATTTGGAGGGAGGTGTTGGTTAAGAAATACAATATCAATGATCTTCACTATACTCCTCCATCATCTGCCTTTCTAACCCTCAAAAACATTTTCTAAGGGTACTCCATTGTTTATTTCTCGTATTAAATGGGTGCCGCGAAATGGCTCTTTGGTTCATTTTTTGTCTGATCACTCGGTTGGGAAAGTTGCCCTTGAATCTATCCTTTTTGGCCCCCTCATTAGAAATGCCTCTAAAATCTTACTTGCGGATGTATTTCAAGAGGGCGCCCTTGATTTTGATACCATTGGCTATTACATCCCCCAAGATTTGGTTATACAAATCCTTACAGTTCCTATGTCCAGCTCTCATTCTGTTGCTAATATGTTTTCTTGGAAAGAAGAGTTTAATGGCATATTTTCTCCCTCTTCGACCTATAAAATCTTTGCAATTAAGGATTGTCAGGCAAATGATGATTGGAAGTGGGTGTGGAAAACCCTAACCCTTCTAAAAATCCAAATGTTCTTATGGTAGCTTGTTCATGGCAGAGTTAAAAATCTGGAATATCTTCACCATTTGGGCATCATTGATGACCCTAACTGCATAACATGTAAGAGGCAAGTTGAGTCGATTGATCACATCTTCAAAAGTTGTCCTCACGCTGTTGCTATTTTCAACAAGTTTTGTCTCCCACTTTTGCTAATATCCTTAATGCTATGGATTTTAAACATTGGCTACTTGAACATGCTCACAACAATTCTCCTAGCCATGTTTTCAATATTCCCTGGGCTGTTATTTTTTGCCTTCCTGTTTGGACTCTTTGGAATCAAAGGAACTAATTTTTGTACTGCCATAAAAAATGTTGATGTTCAGAGGGCTCAATTTCTACTCCTACGACTGGAAGTAAGCAGGGTCCTAAGCCTCTTGGGAACCTCTGCCCCCCTTCTGGTATAAAATTAATACTGATGGTTCTACAATTGGGAACTCGGGTAATGTTGGCTACGAGGGTATTTTGAGAGACTCTTAGGGACAGTGGGTTGTTGATTTTCTAAGAAATATTGGTCACACCACTACCTTAGCCGCTGAACTATGGGCAATCAAGGATGGCCTCTCTATTACTAAAAGTCTTCAACTACAGAATGTTAGTTTGGAAACCAATTATCAAGTTGCCTATGTTCTTTTATCTGACAAGCTTAATCCCTCTCATCCTCACAACACTTTGCTTATGGATTGCAAGGATCTTATGCGCACCATTCCCCAAGTCCAACTGAAGCATGTGATGAGAGAAAGCAACATGGTTGCTGATGCTATTGCCAAAAAAGGTGCTTTAGCCCCGCATGGGTTTCACGTTTTGTTTGATTGTCCACTTGATGTGGATTTGTTATGTATGGC